TGGGTTAACCCGTCAAACGATAGAGTGAATTTAAATATCTCTGTAAATATCATTTAATTAGTGTGTATGTTTTCAACTTGCTATGTGTCATGCATTTCAGTCGGATAATGTTTTATTAAAACGAAACGTTGAAAAATATTGCTAGCATAAAACGCTCCATAAGGCCATGGATTAGAGCGTGGCAGCACACTATTCCTGACATTCCCCCACGCAACCTATATATTATTAAATGTAGACTTCCCTTGCGAAAATTTCTCGTGTGAAATATAAGTCTGACTGCTTTGGCAACAGTCATACTTATCGTTACATATTAAGTTGTATGCTACTATACGCTCGGCAAAAAGATTCAGTAATTATATTTCTGACATTTTAAATATATTTTGATATACATCAGCAGAATGACTCAAACAAAGAAAAAAATACGACTGTAAGTACATGTAAAATTTATATATTTGTGTTAGCTGTAGGGAAGAACCTGCACCGGTTAATTAGTTCAAGAGGTTTGCACGAGTGTATATCGAACATCTATTTAGGTTTCGGAAGGAGTTCGCAGATCTGCACACACGATTTTTGGGCAACAGTCAGCAGCCTATTTGTTGCTAAATTTAGCATGGTGGGCAACAGTACAGTATTGCCAGCGAATCAAAAGTCGCTACTCTTATCAGATGACAAGTGTTTCCCCTGCATTATTGCGTAATCTGAATCTACACGCAGAAAAACTTTATAAGCTTTACGATGTAATTTAAAGAAAATGTAATTTTTCTGCTTATGCATCGATAAACGTCTTTTACATCAAGCATAAGGGCATATGGCCACAGTTTTAGAGAAAATTGAAGAAATATTTCGCCGCCAATCAAAATCATGTGAAATAATCATAGCGTTAAAATTTATTCAAGAACAATGTACAAATCATTTGCACCGAGAATACCTGATTCGCTTTGACAGAAGCGACAATATTGCAGTTCGTAGATGCGACTTTTCAAAAATGCAATTTCCAAAATGTGTAGTTAAAACATTAAATTTAAAGATTCCTGTTAGGCATGTCAATTTTCATTTGTTTTTCAAAGTACGCTTTTGTTATAGTTGAATTTACAATTACATCTCATCATGACAAATAATAAGCAATAACATAAGTGAAGTACAACTTATTTAGGCACAGTATCGTGCATGTGTTAAGAATAGTTAAATAAAGACAAAATGTACGTGCATGATTTCAGTTCTCGTGCTTTAAATATACGAAATAAAAAATTCCAATCGCATCTTAATTACATATTCATCAGTGCAGAATGGTGACCTATGAGTGCCATAGTAATTTCTAGTGTTTGCACTCCATTATTGATATTATTTCATTTCTATTTATTTACAAAGCAAACTTGATTTATATCACAGTTTGAATTAAATATTTTTAGCAGCTCAATTATAGTTTTGTTTCAGTTTTCCTTTGTTTAAATTTTGCTTTTTTTCCAAATACGTTCAGTTTTCGAAAAATAAAATGAATCAATCAAATGCCATAGCCTATGAGGGCCATGGCCCTCAATTCCCTGTAATTCTTACGTCAAAAACCCTATATTTCCATGTTACATGAAGTGGGGCTCTATACTTTATAAATAGGACGGAATGCATTAGTAACTTTGATTGGGAAAATGAGGAAGAGATGAGACATGATATTGAAAAGTATATGTACAGCGAAATGTAAAACGAAAAGAGATACTAGACTATATGTCTGCAGATTATCCCATGTATGCATGGAGCATTCGCATTTTAAGTCGCAGGCTTCAACACTTTAATATTAAATACAAAAACTACGACTGCATTGGAAGACGTTAAACCAGCTGCCAAAAAGGTGTTGAACGGTCCTGGCGCTCTTCTAGGTTATTGGGTAATACAGCAAAAGTTAAGAGAGGTGCATGAACTCAATGTTTCATGCGACTTACTTTACGCTGTTATGGGAGAAGTTTACCCAGAAGGACTGCAATCACGAGGTGGAATTGGAAAACCGAAATGACCACCTACAACAAACGCGTTTGTTAGTCGAGTAAGTCAGCCATCTTATTTTATTTATGCTTTGATAAGTAAAATATTAATTGCTTTGTTTCAGGATATTCCCAATATTTCTTTAAAACTATGTGGCTTTTTGTGATGAAAATTTACATCATCTTAAGCTTAATTCTAAAAACCATCATTGTGTTTCTACCATTTGATGAGTGTTGTAAGGAACAAGCAGAAAGAAATTTCTGTGCACAACAATTTGCAATATGTGTGTGTAAAATATGTTTGTAGTAAAAAGTCACCATGCAAGTTGATTTTCAAATTTTAAAGGAGGGGGGGGGGATTGATTGTGGACAACAAAATTTTTATGGGCAACGTATTTCCTCTTAGCAATGCCACATCTTGAAACAGCTAATTTGAGCCTTCATTCTATTAAATTATAACAGGGATCAAACTCTACAATGTCTTTGGATGGGCATGGTAAGCCTTGTGGCTATCAGAAATCTATGTTTCCTTAGTTCATTTATGTTGGACTGGATGTATACAGTGGCAGGGTTAACTTTCTGAAAGTCTGGACAACTAACAATAAACCATTGGTTATTGGACTATTCTATTTTATATATCTGTTTAAGGCTAGGGTAAGATATTTTGAATTTCAATTTTAAATTGCTCACTTTTTTATGTTCCATAGGTTTTCTGGATGAAAATAGTGAGAATATAATCAAAATTTTAAAGTCTGTTTTATCTTTTTTGTCCAGTTTTGCCACAAAAAATAAGGTTAGACATAGGGATAGAAACTGGTGTCATGGAAACAATTCATTGCTTCCTACGAAGTGATTTGCATAACGCTTTAGACGCCATAATTTATGGACCTTCCACTCAAAACAAGATCGAAAGGTGGTGGAAGGATATTCTCGAGAGAATAGAAAGGTTTTTTAAAGAACAACTTAAATGCTTCGTTAAAAGTGGAGATTATGATTCCATTGATCAGAATGACAGGTACTTATGATAATTGGATGCATTTTGTTTCAAGTCATGACTGATGTATGTACTTTTGTGTAATTTTTTTCTGTCAAAGTTTTTTTTTCTGTGAAACTGAAGATAATGCCATTTTTAAGAAATAATATATTGTTGCATCTTACATCACTTATTAAACCAAGTTTAACTTTCTGGCTAAAATAAGTTATGTTGTTTTTAGTAATAAAATCTTAGAGCAATGTTTTCAATATTTCATTGGCAAAATTAGATGACCTAATGTAATAAAAAAATACCTTAAAACTAGGCATTTTGTCTTATTGGAAAGATCCTAATTAAATAATCTCATAAATAAGAAATCCTTTTTTAATACAAGATATATTACTCATCACACCGAGATAAATATATAAGTATTCCTGCTAAGATAATTTTTTTTGCTTTTAGGAAGTGAAATCTTAAATCAAGGAAGTTTTTCTTATTACTAGATTTTTTTTCTTAAGACGAAGAAAAATTATCTAGACAAGTTTTGAAGAATTTGCAGTGTATGATAGTGCCATCAAGATATTTATGAAGTCAAAGAAGCGGTATTTATCCAGCAGAAAATTGACGACGACGAAATGGCGCCGATATTAACGTAATGTTTTTGTACAAAGTATCTCGATAAATACACTGCACTGTGTTTTAACTTGACAAAACTGCAGTTGAAATCTTGTTTTTGATCAGTGATCATGAAAATGTACAAGATTGGCTGTATACTCTCAAGATTCGGCGCCAAATTTAAAAAATACTTTTTATGCAAAATGTCTCTAATTTCATTATTTAGTAACCATCTCTGTATTAAATGCAAACAATCCGTTGATTTTTTCCAAACAAGCCATGTATTGTTTATTGCAAATTAAATACTCCACTGCTTGTATTGAGCCAAATGTAAAATAAATATCGTTCGTGCCAATTCTAAAATAATGAGCTGTTGCTAAACTGGAAAAGGACTATGAGGGAAGAAAAAAATTTCAAAAGAACTGAAATGACGATTGCTTCAGGTATGTTATAGGGTGAGTGTAATAACAATATATTAAGACAGCTAGAGCAAAGTTTACTTAGTTCGTATTTAAGTTACACTGTAGTTATATATTTTACTTTGCAATTGGCAAATTTCAATCCTGTATTATACTCGTTCCACAATGGAAATTTATGTTAGATATATCGCCAAAGAAACAGACATATCCACAAGAAGGTAAAACTACATTTAATATCGAGCTAAATTGTTTATATTTCTTATTTCGCTTATTTTGAATTAGTTTATTGAAAAGGCAAACCCAACGTTAACGAAAGTCCAGTACGAGTCAAGGAGATGTTTGATTTGGGATTCAGCGTTGCTCAAATGACTGTGTGCTTAGGATTATCTCGGCCAACAATCTATAACCTTTAACGTTACGCAGGTATTGATGATGCTGAAAAATGCGATGCCATTTCTGATTCCAATCTATACAAAATTATTTCAGAAATTAAACAGACCCAACACAACGCTCGCGCGGTCAATATAATAGGCCACATTTTGGCTAGTAGAATTAAGGTGAACAGAGGTTGGGTTGGACCTAACATCAATCGTGTAGCAAAGATCGAGAAAATCCTAGCAATTTGTTTTTGATATTAAGAAGTTAGTTTGATTGGATAGAAACAACGGGCCAGCTAGAAAATGCTGAAGTGGATAAAGCTAGTTTTATCTTTTATTTTGACGAAGTCCGACAAGAGTTCTGTTAAATCACAAATGTTCTACACCATCTTGGCATCCTACACCCGTATCCTTTGCAAAAGTTTAATGATGTCATATACGTATTGACTGGCTTGCAAAATTACTCTAATTAATAATCAAATTATGCTGCTGAATTTTTCATTTTAGGTTTTTACAGGGGATCTATATATACATGCATGAGAGCTGAAGGTGTGCAACTTATTGTGTTAGAAGCAATTAATCTTGTGAGCCTTCTTTTATAGATTAATGGGTAACTTCTACAGTCACAAACGATTACATTAAATTGGATTAAAGGAAACTGAATTTTATTACCAATATTCAACTCACAAATCGTAATTAATACATATATTTTTTCCTTAACATAGAAATACCAAATAAGAGCCTTTAAATAATGGCTTTCTATAATAAGGTTGTTAAAAGTCTGGTATATATTATTCAGAGGAAAGGTTATTGGATTATACATATAACTGATAACAAAAAAGAAAGTAGATTAAGCACTGCTAAAGCTTGTTGGCATAACAATACATAAAACAAATTACACATATTTATAACTTAAACAAAAGCAACTGTAGTTTACATAAGCATTATTTTAATTTAAAAACAAAAATGTATCCCATTGATTTAAATTGTTTCGCTTTATTCTTATTGTGGCAGTAAGCTGATTTCCCACAGCTATTTATTTCAGCGTTTTGCCTGCAATACGGGTATGTAGAGCCAAACCCAATGAAAGAGTCACTTGTCCTACAATTGTTTCCATTATTTCCTATGATGCCTATCCTTACACGAGGGTGTGAATTTAACTCGTCAACGACGCTGAAACCCTCTTTATTGCAGTTTGGTTGAAGAACACTGTCTTTAATCAATGACATCCATTTGTTTCGGCTCACATTGGTTTTGTGGTATTTTCCACCAGCAATGATATCGTACAACGATTTAGCTTGAAGATCGAAGCTGATAAAGTTTGTTTCACCATCGAATCTCATTCCAACGCATATTTTGTTTATCTTGGTGCTCCAGTAGGTAGGAAGTTTTGTTTCCAAATCATCCATTCCTGTTTTGCCATTTTCAACCTGATAACTATTTTTATTCTTCCAAAGCGATGAGTCGAAGTCAAATGTTTCCTAAGAAAATTTTAAAAAATTAAGGCATAAATTAAGAATCTGGTATACCAGTTAACATTTCCAACATTTATTTTAAAACCAATAATATTTCCAGTCATCAAAAAATAAATGATATATATTAAACATGATACACGGACAAAAATATATAGATATCGATAAAATTTAACAATAATAAGGAAATAAGATAAATTAATTGGGAGCATGTTGCAAAACAAATATTGTGTTGGATCAAAAAACTTGAACATTGTGCTTAGAGTTAGGGCAGATTCAAGAAAGAGATAAATCAAAGAAGCACTCCGCATCAACAAAACTAACCCTGACCTCAATGTTCAAGTTTTTAGATTCAACACATTTAGTTTATATTACGCTACCTATAAAATTTTCTTTTTTCCTTATTACTCTTATAATTTATCCATATCTATATATTTATGTTACTGTATCATATTACTTTTATATGAACTTTTTACTATTTATGTAATTATTCAATTATACCTGATATGGCATCATGAGATCCCAAAACATGTCTATTATTAAAAAACTCTTCGTCTATATTTATTGTAGTGCAGTTGTTGTATTTATTGCCTCTAATCAAGTTTCCATTAAAACCTGTGCTTGAGTGGTGACGACAAACGTCATCCAATATTAATGATTTCTACGATTTAATGGAAATCAAGCTTAAGTAAAAACATTGAATTTAAAGATAAAAACTAAGTTTGTTAAAAAATGATGCTCGTTAGTGCAACGTAAATAGATTTTTGTCATTCTGCATTCGTTTTTTTATAAACACAAAACTTTATTTTGTTATTCTACTAAATATTTTGAAGAAAATGTTTAAACAAATTCAGTTGTACTTTATTCCCATCAATTTTCATCACTAGCGTCCAACCTTCTTCAGAATAACCCGATATGATTTTTTTGCAGAAAACATTGTTGTAGCCAAATAAAATATCCGTCTTTATTAAGTACACACCATCTTTTGAACTTTTGTATATATTTAAAATAAATAAACAAAACTAATTACAATATAAAATTTATATGTATAATTTATCGATATGATAGTTAATCATAAGAGCCTTAGCAAATATCAAGTTTTTTCAAACATTTTGCTTAAACAATGAAAAAAATCCCAAGTAAATATAATGATGTAGAGTTATTTTCTATTTAAAAAAATATGGAAAGTATTTTAAAAGAATATCACGAACTGTACGTTTTCAATAATGTATTTTATGAAAAATAATTAAAACCAGAAAATTTCTATTCTTCTCCAACGCAAAAATTTTTCTTGTAAAAACTGCAACTGCTTTAAGAAAATATTATTTTTCCAAAGTAACCCAAAATGGAAACAGATAAAGTCTATTAAAATGCTTTTTTTAGGTTTTATAGCTAATTAATTTATTTGCTTTAATGAGAAAATGGAAACCAATAACTACAATGTCTGTCAAGTAATTTTTTATTCTCGGAAAAATTTGCGACTTGGTCTTAATTTCAATATTTAGCTTTAAAGTGTTGAAGAAACGAAATTTCATGGTTTCATATTTTTATATCATTGCATAGTGTAAACCTTGAAAAGTGTCCAGTAAAAATTTTAAGGGGTAAAAACGATTTTTTGGGATAGAAATCTCATTTAAAATGACATTGTCGCACGAAAATTTAAATGAACTTTCTCTATTAAAATTTTTTTTTATTTGTATAATTTTGTATTGCGTTATCATTGTTTACAAGTGCCAAACCAACACTGACGTCACGAGGTACTTCAAATTACTAGTCCAAGGCACTAAGCATATATCACGAAGCAATTTTTAAAAAAAAGGCACATTTAACTACCTATATTATATCATCCATAGGAGTTATAAGAAATGTTAAAACCTCATCATACTCAGCGCATTCTAAACTTTTAATTCATACCAAAAAATAATTAGGTAAAATTTCATTTCATAACTACTTGAAAGAAAATGAATTTTAGTAAAATGCAGGTAGTTTTTTTGACTTAGAATTGTTTTTAAAAACGTTATCTTGATTATAAAATTATTGGAGTAAAAAAGCTAATTCAACTTACTGAACTTACGTAATGAGGGTACTTTAACAATATTTCCACTTGCAAATTGGTACACACGATTCCACTTGATTACAAGAGTACTTTTATTTAGACCAGTGGTGCATTTATCATTATTCGGCACAATAGGACTGGAATACTCACAAATAACGTCATGATTCCACAAGATTAAATAACTTATTTACCCACAAATGACAAATTTGGATTAAAAACACCATTCTCACATTCAAGTTTTTGACCAATAGCAACAACACCACCACCACGTAATAAAGGTAATGAATGATTGACCATAGTTTTGTTATCAATTGTAATTCCATCAAGAAATATTTTTTTATGAGTGCGACCAATTATGATGGCCAGGTGATGCCAGATACCGTCGTTGATTTCCGAAATGTTGAGTTTTCTATTATATAGTGAAAAGAAGTTTAAGGCAACTAGTATGATTTTCATTAAATAAAAAGCTTTATATTGTAACTGCATACTTCTAGACTTCTTTATCAAGAACAGCTGTTTTTTTGCGAGTTCTTGAATGCTCTTTCAATAGAATACAAATAAAGAAACTGGAAATTTTTTCAATGAACGAAAACTTTTTTTTCACTTCACATTTTCAGTGTGTTCTGTTGTCACCAAATCCCCTCTTTTATACTAACTTTGGACCAAATTTCAATAAGGAAAAACATGCAACTTATCATGAATAGCTAAGTTTCAAAACAGTGCATATCGAACGTTTTATATGTAAACTACCATATGCGGCCCAGAAATCTGTTTAACTTTTTTTATTTAATTGATTTATGTAAATGGTAAATACATAATTTCCTTTATTAGCAATATTTGACACGCTCACGATCTTGCGTAAATTCCGGGTTTGTATGATTTTAAAGGTCGTATATTTTAACTAGGTTAGCAACTCTTAACATGATAATACCGACTTTTAACACAAACACTTTCACAAACTGTAAATATCTCATAAGTACATGGCAAAACATGAAAAACAAATACATTTCATTAATCACAAACAATTTTACAATATTTTTGTACTTTTTTAATACTCAATTTTATTTCTAAGTATACAAAAAATGCGAATGTTTTAAGGGTTTGTGGCAAATTCTTAGGAAGACTTATCCTTTGGTCACCTATCTATATATTTGCCATATTTTGAATGCTTAAACGCTATGCAGATTGGCTTAATTGCTGTGAAAACAATTGAGCACAATTGTAGCCTATCTGCAATGTGTTTAAGCTTAAAAAACATGACGAATGTTTAGACAAGTGTCCCCAGCATTGATCTTACTAAATATTTGCCTCAAAACCTTAAAACATTTTTCATATGCTTAGAAATACATTTGAATGTTAGAAAACTACAAAAATATTGTAAAAACTTCCTTATTAATAAAATGTGTTTGGTTTACGCGTTTTGCCATGTACTTATGTGATATTTGCAGTTTTTTGAAAGTGTTTGTGTTAATGGTCGGTAATTTTGTGTTGAGAGTTGCCAACCTTGTTAAAAATATACGACCTTTTAAAGCATACAAACGTGGAAGTCACGTGAAATCGCTTGCGTGACAAACAATGTACATAAATCAAATAATGTATTTATTATATAAACAGGTCGATTGAATAAAAAACTTTAACGGACTTTTGGGCCACCTATGAAACTATTGCAAATCAACGTAATGGAAATGTCTTGCTATAAAATTAGTGTGTGTTGTGTTCAAAATGGCATTTTTGTGGATTTCAACAAACTTTTCATTAATGAGCCATGCAAATAAAGGAGTATGTTTATTCGCAACAACAGCAAATAGTTTAATGTATTGTGTTTAGGTCTTCTAAAATAAAAAATATTTCGTGATATAAGCTATTTTAAAGCTAACGCAACTCATATAATTTTAAATGTGCGATTTTAATGAGTTGTTGTTACTAAGAAAGAAAGTAAACTATAACATTTTCCTCTTACAAAATATGCTGGGACTGCATTATGACAACAAGGCAATTTCCTTCATCGCCAACAAAAAATTCATCGGGACTATCTTCTATTGCGTAAGAAAACACCGCCATTCGTTGACTTGAGTTTATTTTTATCCAAAACATCAACGTTATTGCTGACATATTGGGCATCGCATTATCCAATAGAATCACGTTCTCAACATGTGCATTTTTGAAGAGCAAATCGTAATTTTTGTTGAGTGTTAAGGATAAATTAAAATTTCTTATATTTACATCAAAATAAAAAACCACAGTGTATGTAAAAACCATCTAAACTTACACGATTGGACTTCGCATGTTTTATTGTACTTCTAAACAACAAAAATTAATATTTGTAATGGAGAACAAGCAATTTCTGTTTAAATAACAGATATTTTAAGATATTACATAACTAGATATACATTTTTTTGACATAATACTAATGTATTCCTGAATGAACATTTTTACCAACAAAATTATTCTTCTATTGACTTAAAATTTAATTTTACCTTGAATGGGGAGTTGAAAAAAATGTAATCATAAAATCGATTATGTTTTAAATCAATGACATTGCTGTTGTTGAGAACACTATGTAACATTTCACAAAGACTCCAACGTCCTTGACTTAATTTTCTCCTGTGGTTAATAGATCGACAACATGATTCTTTAACGCAGGAAGCAATACATTCAATCTCACTTTTGACAACAATTTTAATATATATATCGGTATACAGTCTCCGACCTAAAGTGAACACGAAATATGTCAAATATAATTTTGATAAAAGAAAAGATTAGGGATGTAAACGAAAATTTTTTATGTTTCACGATCAAATCTATTTATACTATTTTTTACACAATGTGCCTTACCTTTGTGTGAAGAATCATAGCAAAAGTTGAAACAACTGATTCGAAGAAAATATTCAAAACACAAAAATATTGCCAACTGCACCTTTATAGAATTTTTTAAAAACATTTTGTCTTACATAAACATTCTCGTCAAAGTAAAAGCAGCTTAGCTATAAGTTAATCACCATAAACGTATTAGCTTTTATAGCGTTTGCTTCTTTAAGTAGTTTTCTGTAATGAAATGATGATTTCCTTATGTTTAATGATGTTTACTCTATTTATACAGGGTATTGCATAAAAAATGTTCTCCTCCTTGTGTTCCGTTCTACACAACAACTAAAAACGTTATGCTATTAACAAAAATTTAAAGAGGGGGACATTACACTTGAATTATGCTTCATATTTTTACAGAAAAACCGCACAATATGACAATTTATCTGACTTTGTCAATGTAAGCAAGCAAGTTTCGAACAAACTAAAAATGTAAATAGGGGCATTAATAATTAAATATGTACAAGTGAAGCACGCAGCCATACACACGAACAAAAATTGTCCGCTTTTTCTATATATTGTTTCATTCATTTAAAAATGATAATGAAAAGGACATCTTACTTTTGCAGTTCAAATGCAGTATTACTTTAAAAATAATATTATTTGAGTAGGTATGTAACTAATTTTCTGCTTCTCTTAAAAAACTCTGTCTTAATTAAAACAGCCTTATCTCCGTAATTGCAATATTGCAATATTGCAATATTGTTGGAAAATTACATCAGATTAAATTTAACTTTACTGCGTACAAAATAAGTTGTTTAAACAACCCAAATTCTTTACATTTTATTACAGAATGAATCCATAGAATACATGATAACATGAAACATACTCCAAAAAAACACCATCTTGTAAACTCAAGATAAGACTTATATTTGAAATGATCTAAGCAATGAAAAGAAATAAATTGGAAAGGTGTTTACTATTTAAATTTAGATTAAGGAATTAGGAAGAAAACATACAAGGCATTTAGAAGACTTCAAAGTAGTGTTCAGCTGAAGATTTTTGAAACCTATATATAACACTCATCAATTCAGAAAAGCAAAACCTTAGGATGTTATAATGAAGACAGTATAAAGTTAGTTTTATTGTTATTTAGAAAATTCATGTGATGAATTTATGTCATTTAATGTGTCAAGTTCAAAATGAATGGCGCTTTGATTGCATGGGGTTGGATTTTGCCTGAAGCTACGTTAATTCTTTTATGGAAGAAAGTGGTTAGTTTTACTTAAGTATGATTGAAAAAAGCCTGAACACTGAAGTAAATTCAAAAATTAAGTTGCTCCGCTCTAAAGTTGGTATTTTTTCTTTCTTTAAAAGGCAATATGATATTTTTTTGTTTTGTTGCTGGATATGTGACAAAATCGTAGTATTTTTTTCTTATTAGAGCTTTAAATAAGGAATCACCTTCCCAATATAAATACGGAATCCTGTGCTATACATTGTAGCATGAAAAAGAACATTTTTTGCCACATTCGGAATTTCATTGTTGCAAAGTATAAATCCCGGTCACGAGATCATATTTGTCGGATCCCATTTGTTGGGCTTTAAGTTTTGGTTGCTTGTTCAGACGATCCAATAATTTTGTTGATATTTATATTCGTTTAAATATTTATAGTCTTGTAAACAGCCATTTGTGTTATGCAGTACATTTATCTCTGCATTTTTTGTATTTTTGTTCTTGTGTTCAAGTATTTTTTGAATCTATGTAAGTCAGCTGGTCGGCTTCGTTTCATCTTATTATATGAATGAAGTATAGAGCAAGTTCTACTTTCATCCGATATTTTCGATTGACTATTCGACTGTCAGAGGCTAAGTTTAAACGTTTTCACATGATCCGTTTCTTAGGATCCGAAAAAATCGATTACTATCAATATGATCGCTGGTGTGAACGAGCCTTAAAACTATTTTTTGTCATGTGTACATCATAAGGGAAATTCATATTGTCAGTACAGTTTTCTTATAGTAATAGTTTCGCTTTAACTTAGGAAGCATTAGTTAAGAAATTTGATGAGAACATGCTTTTTATGCAGTAAACGTCAAAGCTTAGTAAAAAGTTCTAATTGCTAAAACGCTGTCAAAGGTTAATGAAATACGAAATTATCATAAATTTAATAAATTTTGTTTCGCTGGAGCCCATCTGTTTCAGTAAATATGCTTACTCTTTCCGCATGTATGTGACTTTTACATTTAAAAGTGTATCTAGCTAAATTGAAATTTAGAACTTCGAAATGAAACCAAATCAATGTACTAAAATCAAATTTGAAAAAGTTATATTAAAGTGAAAATGATTTAAAATA